TTATTGAGATAAAATATCAGTGGTTTTCAGCCTGGGAATTTAGCTTCACTGACACCCTGAAGGCACATGGTTCAAAGCCACCAGCTGCTCTCTGGGAGAAGGATGGGTACTCTCCTCCTGGGTGATTAACTGTCTCTAAAACCCACGAGAGGGTCAGCTCTGGGTCAGTTCTGACACTTGATGGTACACAACAGCAGGGGCCGTTTGGGATATTGGGAAGCGTGTTTATTAGTATGACTGGGATATTTGAACATTATCATTAATATCACATGGAAGCAAAATATTGCTGAAGATCTTCCAAAAATAGTACAGCCTGCACGTAGAGAATACCCTAAGAATATCTATTCGTGTTATATTGATTGTAAGGCATTTGACTGTGTGAATCATAGCAAACTAGGACTAACATTGAGAAGAATGAAAATACCCAGAACACTTAATTATGCTTGTATAGGACCTCTACCTATACCAAGCAGCTGTTGTTTGAACAGAGTAAGGAAACTGCATGGATTAAAATGAAGGAATGTGTGCACCAGGGCTGTATCCTTTCTCCATACGCCTGAATGCTGAGCAAATCATTTGAGAAGCTGGGCTCTATGAAGAAGAATGTAGCATCAGAATTGGAGAAATGCTTATCCACAACCTGCGTTATGTAGAAACATGATGAAATTGAGAGGACCCAAAGTGCTTGCTTCAAAGGATCAAGGGTTGCAGCCTTCAATACGATTATTTCTCAATGTCAAGAGAAAAAAAATCCGAGAGCTCTGGTGGCAAAAAGCTGCACTGAAATCCCAGAGGTACTTGGTTCAAATCCTCCAGATGCTCTCCTGGAGAAGGAGGGACAATCTCCTCCTGTACCAGTCAGATATGATTTGATGGCACACACACACACAAAATAATAAAGGAAAATTTTAAAAAGGAAAAAACCACAAAACCCAAAAATCCTTCCCTAATAATAACAACAACAACAACAACAACAACAACAGTGCCTAGTGAGTGGGGCGGTGCTAAATATCTTCTGTTGCCCACAAAAACCCACACAACAACGGGCAGTTTACTCAACCCCACTTATCAGCAGTGCCCATGAAGAGTGCCCCTGAGATACTTCCATCGGGCATTTGGAACCCTCTTGGATCCGCTGTGTCAGTACCATTTTTCATTTAACAGACTGCTTTTCCACATCTCATAGCGACCTCCCCTTTTTTTATTTCCTAGCTGGGCTTCTTCTACCTTAAGATACTATGTAACTTATTTATCCAGGCCACCTGTGTCTTAGCTCTAGCTGGGGCCCCATTATTGGTAATAGAACGACATAGCTGCAGTGAAACAACTTTGCACACAGACCGTTTTACACTTGTGGGTGTACAGCCAGGGGATAAACCCCTCAGAAATGCAGTTGTTGGGGCAGGGGCCATGGGCGGATGACATTTGGGGGAGAAACTGCCAAAATTGTCCTCTGAAGAGGCAGTAACAATTTATGCTCCCTCCAAAAATGTAAGATCGTGTCTCTCTGTCTCTCTGTCTCTCTCTCTCTGTCTCTCTGTCTCTCTGTCTCTCTCTCTGTCTCTCTGTCTCTCTCTCTCTCTGTCTCTCTCTCTCTCTCTGTCTCTCTCTGTCTCTCTCTCTCTCTCTCTCTCTCTCTCTCTCTGTCTCTCTCTGTCTCTCTCTCTCTCTCTCTCTGTCTCTCTCTCTCTCTCTCTCTCTCTCTCTCTGTAACGTGGGCATATTTTCTTATCCCTGGTTTTCCATTTATAGCCTAAGCCGTCTTCCTATCAGCTGAAAAGTTCAAAATGTTGGCAGCTTGGCGGCGTTCTGAAGCTCTGGAAGGGCAGCCGTGGAAGAACGCTAGATAAGCTGCCCTGGCTGAGTAAGAACACAAAGCCCCTTTCCTGCCTCCCCGCAGAGGAGAAGGGAGTTAAGAAGCCGCTCAGAGTTTGAGGGTGATAAATAATTACATTTGGCTGAACTCCCAAAGGTCTGCTCCCAGCCCACTGCCTTGCTTTCTGTTGGCTGCTGCTTAGAATAAACATATCAGCATCTTCTTGGCCAGAGGAGGCTTATTTGTAAGATGAGCTGCTTGGCTGCCTTCTCATGCCTCTTGGTGATGATTATTACCAAATTCAGTCATTTTAGGCTGCAGTCAAGTGGCTGAGCTCTGTAAAGAGAGACAACATAACTAGCTGACGCTGGTGAGATGTGTGTGTCTTTCTAGTAAAACTAAGTTTAGAAGCTTGATGCTATTAACAGATACCCGAGAGCTTAGAGAAACGGTGAGGCATTTTCTTCACTCACATAAAAGATTAATAGAATTCTCTAGCCTTAGCTGCCAAGTAGCATCACCTGGGGAGATTTCAAAGGCCTGCTGTCCAGTCTTTTTCTCAGGCCAAATGAAATCAGATTCTCGGGTTGGGGCCCAGGCCTCGGTGTTGGTTCTTTTAAGCTCTCCGGATGATTTCAAGGAACGCTGGTGGCACACTGGTAAAGCATTTGGCTGTTAACTGAAAAATCAGTACGTCAAACCCACCAGCCAAGAGGGATGACTGTGGGCTTCTGTAAAGATTACAGCTTTGCCCAGCCCACCAAGATCTCGCTGTAAGTCCGAATTGACTTGACCACAGCAGATTTGGTTTGCTTAAGAGGATTTTACCCTGCAGCCAAGATTAGTGCCTCATGGGTCAAATCTGGCCCCCTTTGTCTGCTTTATAAACAAAGTTTTATTGGCACTCAGCCACACCTGTTGTTTACGTATCATTTATAACTGCTTTCACAGCAGATCCTGGATGGTCCCCAAAGCCTTTCAGGCCCTTTGACGAAAAAGAGCCTCTGACCCCTGTTTTAGTAGTTTTTCGGTCTCTGCTATGTGGATTCTCTTAACCATATGTTACTGGAGACTTTGATGAACGTATCATTTGGTGGCTTTGCCTCATAGAGAGTGTTTTTGTGAGATGCTTTTCCAATTTCACGCCTGAAAAGGCTGCCCTTTCCTTCTGGAATCTAGGAAATGCGTTCCTCATCTCGAGAACTGCAAATCACAAGACTAGCCTCCCATCATCCCCCTTTTGATGTTAGGCATACAGTTTAGCTAAGCCTTCAAGTCCTCCTCCTCCGAACTGCCTTTTAATCTGCTCCCTCTTCCCTTTGTGTTCCCCGTGTCCTTATTCTTCCTTTTCTTCTTCTTGTCTCCTCACGCTTCACTCTGTAGGAAGTGCTCCAGGTCGCTTGCATTCAGAAGCAGGTGTAGACAGTTTCGTACTTCTTTGTCCATTAAATTTGACCTCTACCTGTATCGTTTAGGAGGTGGCTGGCTGTGCACGCTGCCGTGTTCATTGTGCGCATTGTCAAGGTTTTCACACTGTTTCATAACCCGCCTGGAGAATCTAATCAGTACACAGATGGGGGTGCAGGGAATTTTTTGGGGGTGCTTGTCCTAAATTACAACAGTGAATGCATCTGCTTGCTTTGAGCAGCTGATTCTGGACTCTTTTGGGGGGACAGATTGTGAGAAGGGTCTTCCTAACTTTACCTCATGGGGGATGTTCCTGGAGTGATAAGATCAATTTGCTGGTCCCCTGTTGGGTGGAACTTCAGGAACTGTTTCTGGTCCCTCTCCAGAGAACTGACAGATGTGTGTGATGTACGATAATGTGCCCTTTCTTGATAACAGCGTATCGGGATTGGGTTGATATCAAGATTGATGTATGGGGAATGTTGGAAATAGAACAGAATGGGAGAGGTGAGGGGGGAGAGAATAAATGACTCTTCCAGGGAAACTCTTGGGCCTGTGACTTCTGTAACAGTCTAATGAAGGAGATGGGCTTTGCGGGTGCGGGTCACAATTAGGTGAACAGAGAGTTGGGGAACCAGTTTATAGCTGATAGACGTACCAGTTTAGGGTTGGCTTCTCTTTGTCCATTTGTCTGGGTGGTGCATGCCTTCTGTCCTGTAATCTGGGATCGATTGGTTAGGGCTGGTGCCCCGTGTTCTCGGTATTGAATCAGTTGGAGGAGATGCCAGAGGGTGACAGGCAAGGTGAACAGTACCTGGCAGGTCTCTGCCTGCTGAGACCACCTTCTTCTAAGCGGCTCGAGAGGAGAGTGGTAGAGTAGGCAAGAGCTCACCTGCTAACTGAAAAGCTGGTGGTTTGAACCTGCCAGCTGTTTCATGGGAGAAAGATGTGGCTCTCTGGTGCTGTAACCACTCCATGGGTTATACCCTGGCCCGTAGGATGGCTTGGCGTAGAAATGGACTTCCTGGTGGTGGATTTTCGAGGAGGTGGGAAAGGACCCCAGGGATCCTTGGTGGCTCAGAGGTCTTTGCGTGGGGATTCTGGTGAGGGCCTTGGACTTTTTTACCTGGGTGAGAGGATGTCCTGTTAAGATACACATTTAATATTCAGGGCTAATCTTATAGATGCTCTCAGCCAAATGGAAGCAAGTGGGGCAGACGTCTCATAACTGATGCTGTCCATCTCCGTGTAGCTTGAGCCCCAAGGCTAAACTGAGAATGAAAAATGAAGCTCCCAGGATAAGTGGGGGACAGACATCCCCGTGTATGAGTGAGGGGCTTGCTCTCTCTAGGATACAAGCCCTTTGTATGTGGGCCTGTGTTAAAGGCACAATTTGACTTTGCCTGCTGCCGCCGAGGTTGGACATGTCACTGTAACCTGCCAGTTTTGAGGGTCAGTGACGATGCTGATGACACAACCACGCAGCATCTGACTGGGATCGTGCATTTTAAACAGCACATGCAAGCCAGGCAAGTGGTGGGGAGACTGAGTCAGTCAGCCACATCGTTTATTAAGATCATCACCTTCAGGTCACTCCATGTGGAATAGGTGAGACTGTTGAGACACGTGACAGACAATCTCTTCTTTTAATCACTGTGCTTAAATAAAAAAAAATTGTATGTTCAGCTCTGCTTTTCGGGGAGGACACAGGGGTGAGAGTTGTTTGCTGTCCCTTGAGAGCCTGGTTATCTCACCTGAGTTGCATGGAACCTTCCAGACCGCAGCAAAGCTGAGATGGATTTGAAGGAGCTGAGCGAGTGTGTCCAGCAGCAGCAGGCCACTCCCGTCCCACTCATCTCCCCCAAGCGGCAGATTCGCAGCAGATTCCAGCTCAACCTCGACAAGACCATAGAGAGTTGCAAAGCACAGTTAGGTATGTCGTTTGGCTCTTCTGCTTTTAATGGTTGTGGGGATGAAGTATAGGCCAAATCCTGGCCACTCTTAGCACCTGCTTTGACCGAGTCAGTGTGTGTGCACTTAAAGCATATTTCCATTTGTGGTTTGCTGGCAAATTATGCAGAAAAGCCTTTTGAATTTGCCATTGTTTGTGCTTCAGTAGAAGTCGTGTGAGAATTACAGGTACGGGTGGTAAGGAAACTTCAAAGCAGAGTGCCCAGAGCTTGGCTTGGTGCTTCCTCGGTGCACGTCTGTGTGTCAGCGTTGACATGCGTGTGTGTGCCCCTCAAGGTGCCCATCGCACAGCCCTGCCTGCCCACCCGGGAACCTCTTCTACACCTTTACCTGTTGCTTCTCTTCCTCTACCCTGCGCTGCCTGCCTTCACACTCACTGCCTGCCGGAATCCCATCCCTCCTTCAGGCTGAGCTCAGGTCTCACCACCTCCTCCAGGAAGTCTCCCCAACTACTGTTCCCGTCTGCCTACCTCTTTTGGGGTACTTACTGGTCGCAAGCTTCAGGGGTCCCTTTGTGTGTAGATACCCTTCTCAAAAGAGCTCCTTCAGGGCCGAGACTCTGTTCTCCAAGGATTTGCCTTCTCCAGGATTCTCAGTCTTGTGCACACAGTTAGATGTTCTGGAATATTTGGGAGAGTATATTCAAAGGCACAGGACGGACAGTCCTCTGTGGGGCAGCGGTTCGGGGGTTGAGGGGAGCCACTCCACGGTGATGTTGACCGTGTCTCCAGGTGGTCTGGACTGACGGATGAGACGGGAGCTGTAGTTAGGGGTCTTGGGGGCTGCACAGAGGAGAGCTTTTCTTACTAAGTAGCCTGTATGGAATTTGTTCAAATATGCATTGTGCATGTATTGCCCTACCCACTTTGTCTGCAAATGAAGAAACTGAGACTGACCACTCCCTGAGGGTCATCCTTGCCTTTCTTGTGTCGGACGATTAGATCCAATTCACTGACTTTTCACTGGCTTAGCTGTCTCCTGTTACTGGCTTAGCTGTCTCCTGTCCTTCTGCCAGTTTCTGTTCCAGGAATCTGGGTCAGGACAGTGACCTCATTCCCCAGGCCATGTGGTGACTGCTCTCCAGAGACTGGTCAGGGGAGAAATTAGGTTTTTTGGCTTTCACAGATCTTTAGGATACACTGACTGCCATTATGTTGACGACCTGCTGGTACCCCGCACAGTCCTGGTAATAGGATGTGCGTTAGGCTAAATGGGCCTGTTAGAACCATGGTTTTGTATGTAACACACCTGCTTTTTTATTTTCTCCTTTTCTGATGGAGACAGAGCCTTGTCTCTTGACCCCATTGAAGGTGGAGGAACACACAGTACAGTTACTATATCCAGGGAGCTGGACGGAGGGCTGGACCGGCCTTTGCAGGACAGAGGACGTGCTTGCCACCAGGGGGCAGCAGCGTCTCAGCTTCAGCCAGCTGTGGTCTTGTAGGCATGAGACGCACGTGGCTGACGACCTGTTGGCTCTTTCAAGAGAAGGCCAGCATCTTGATGTATGTGTGAAGCATCCAGATTTGTGCATGTGGCCAGCATTTTAGACTGGCCTTATAAATTAAATTCAATATTGAAAAGCAAAGAAACAAAACAGCTTTGTGCTCCCCAAAACACATATAGCTCCTGACCCCAAACTCCTTGTGAGTTTACAACCCAGTAAGGCTTTGCTTTGCTCCTTTAAGCCATTTCTATGTGGGGAAACACATCATCACCTTAGAAGGGACTGAGAGGAGCACTGGGGTCAGGAGCACAGCGTCCTGGCCTTGCCCTCTGGCTTGGTTTTCTGTGTCTTAGGGCAGGTGGTTTCTTTGTGTCCCCATTTTCTTATTTGTAAAATGGGTTGATTATAACAGCCAACCTGTACTGGTCTCTTCCACCCTCCCATTCCTCCACCTTCCGATTATCAGGTGGCTTTGACTAGTTATGCACACATTCATACTTAATGTTGCTGGATTTCCTGTCTGGTCTGTATGTTGGTAACCACCACGCTCTCCAAACCCAAGTTCACCTGTCAGCTGTTCTCAGTACAAGTTCAGGTCAGTGTGAAGCCAGGTGAAATGGGGTGTTTCTTCACTCCGCCGTAGAATATGTGTGCATTTCCGGGCCTGCCCTTTACTGTGTGGCCATGCCCCATGCTGGGTTTTCTTTTTTAACTTAGGCATCAATGAAATCTCAGAAGACGTTTACACGGCCGTGGAGCACAGCGACTCGGAGGATTCGGAGAAGTCAGACAGCAGCGACAGTGAGTCGGTCACCGACGACGAGCAGAAGTCCAAGAATGAGCCGGAAGACGTGGAAGAGAAAGAAGGCAGTCGGGGGGACAAAGAACCCCCCGCTGTCAAAAAGAAGCCCAAACCCTCGAACCCCGTGGAGGTTAAAGAGGAGCTGAAGAGCGCCTCGCCGACCAGTGAGAAGGCCGAGCCGCTGACGGTCAAGGAGAAGCTGAGCCCCGAGCCGGAGAAGGAGTTTCCAGAAAAAGTGAAACCATCTCCTCACCCTGCCAAGGACAAACTGAAAGGCAAAGATGAGACGGATTCCCCAACGGTGCACTTGGGCCTGGACTCCGATTCAGAGAGTGAGCTTGTCATAGATTTAGGAGAAGACCATTCTGGACGGGAGGGTCGAAAAAATAAGAAGGAACCCAAAGAGCCATCTCCCAAGCAGGATGGTAAGTTACACTCTCGGTCTCCAGATTCATAATGTGCTTTTCAATTCCATCTCCCGTTTCTTACTTGCAGGCGTGGTGGGCCCTCTGGTCCCCCCACCACCTCCCGCCTCTGGCAGAGGCAGTGCGGTTGGATTGATATCAACCTCTTAGCGTCTAAATAGGACCAGGCTTGACGCTTGGGCTTACTAGCCTTTCACCTGCCTGGTACCCACCGAGCAGATCAAGAAGCCTTAAGAAATTGCCAGTTGTCTCTCAGGGTCAAATCATTTCCTTTTCAGCTCACTTTTTCCCCTTCAGCGTACTTTGCAGTTCTCTAAATGATGGTCAACGTTTAGACAGTTGTCAGATGGGTTGTTGTTTTTTTTTTTCTTTTTTTTTTTTCATTGCAGCTTGATACTTCTTTATTCTGGTAATGGTGCTTTTTTCAGTTGTCAGATGTTTAAAGATATGAGAAGTGTTCAAGTTGAAGCTCTTAATGGTTTCTCCACCCTTTTCCTCCCCTTCAGCTGTCCAGACCCGTGAGAGTCCATTTCTTCCTAGAACGTGGGTAGCTGGTAATAACTGGGAGCCCAGTGAGCACTGCAGGTGGTGCTGTAACGTGGTGCCGAATGCTTGGTCCCTGAGCTCTAAGGGAAGGACCTGTGTGTGGGGGGATTTGGAGGTGCTCCACCTTATAAGCTGGCCCGAGCACGGCATTTTTAACCCTGGCACATAGACACCTCGCACCGGACACTTGTTTGTTGTGGGATGCTGGCATTAGATGTCGTTTACCAGCTCCTCTTACTCCTGTCCTTTAGGTAGCAGAAATACCCACCCTGAAGTGACAGTCTGTGTAACTTCATGACTAAATATCCCCTGAGAGACGAAGTCTCCTCAGGCTGGGATCCGCTGACTCCTGCCAAGGACCAGCCTTCTTCTCATTGCTGCTTCTGTATCACGTGGGCAGAGGCGCCCCTCAGCCCAGCACGACCCGTGCATGTTGGCAAACCCTTCAGAGCGTGTGTGTGATTTGAAGCGTCCTCACTGAGGCATTTTCTTTTCCCAGCTGGCTCAGCAAGTGGGCAGTGAGGGCATCCCAGCATATTTAAAGAGACAGAGAAATTAATTGAGGTCCCAAGAGAAACGTTGACTAAGGACAAATCAGAGGTTATAACCATAAAACGTTCTGTTCTGATGATTGATGAACAAGAAGAAGCCAGACCTGTGCTGTCAAGTAGTTTCTGAAAAGACAGCGCACAGTCCTGCCCATAACATTTCTAAGCCTGCAAGTCTTCTTGGAAGCAGGCTCCCTTATTTTATTCCCACAGAACTGCCAGTGGACTTGAATCACCAACCTTTAACCACTGCACCACCGGGACATCTTGTGAAAGGGCTAACAAGCAAGTTTATGTTTAACTCCAGATGTTCTCTGACAGGTTTTGACTTTTCATCCAAACCCTTCGGTAAGCTGTGGCTTGCTGTCCTGTGAGCATTTCCTAACCAGGTGGCCAAACCAAGTGGGGGATCAGTCTTAAGGATTATTCTGACTTTGGCTGTGTTTCAGCCTCAGCTCTGAAACTTGAGTTAGAAGGGAGAGAGGTGCCCCTTGTAGTATAGTGCAGTCCAGTGAAGTGGGGTCGGGACAGAGAGACGCTAACGAAGTGAGATAGGGTTGGGGGGTGGGTAGACCAGCTACCTCACCAATCTTAGCCCCTCCCCCACCTCTCAAATTTATCAGCAACTTCTGGAAACACAGCTTAGGTTGTGGATTTGCATTTGAGGGGGTGCCTCTGATGTAGTATTTCCTCCACAGATTGGAGAATTTGAAACACCTTGTGAGCTCAGGGTTAAAGCACTCAACTCCCAACCAAAAGGTTGGGGAATCAAATCTGCTAGCTGTTCAGTGGGAGAAAAATACAGCAGTGAGTCCATAATGATTTACAGCATTGGAGGCCCTCTGGGGATGTTGTACTCTGCCTGCCCTCTAAGGTCACTGAACTGGAGTTGGTTTGACAAGTGAATTTAGCTGTGCTGTGGGAAATTCATAGGACTTTATGAACAATGCTTTAATACTATTCTTTCTTTTCTAGAAAAGTTGTTTAAGTTAGTTGGCAAAATGTGTAGGTCCTTTCCTCTTCCAGAAAAGATTTGCAACAGGTAAACAAGAATACAGAACTTTGAGGCAAAGATATAAAATCAATCAGTCCACGAGAAAGGAAAATGAAGGTTGAATTGGGAGAGGTTTAAAAAAAGCTTTATGCATTAAGTATTATTATTTCCAGCCTAAAATTGGCAAAATTTGACTTCTGATTCAGCTGTGAGCTTCCCAGCAGTCAAAATAAAAAGAGTACGGTCCCTTAAAAGGTCTCACGTTTTCCAGAAGTCAGAAAGAATTCCAGTTGATTAAAAGAAGTAAAGCTCTTCCTCATGTTCATAATGTTGAGAGAAAATCTCTCCAAAAGACCCTGGTGGAAGAGACCTTGTATGTAGTGTGGATGATTAAGTCAAAGATGTGATTCTAAAACATGTATTGGTCAGAGAAGCTTCCCCAGGGGTTTGAAGAACGATGGAATAGCCTTAAACCTAGAGCTCCCTGAAGGTGGGTTAGGTCTTGAATGAGCAGCTTTGTACAGCCAGGAACATTCAATGATGGGTAGTAAGAGTTTATTAAATCAAGGGTATTTGAAAGTGTGCTATGGATGCAGCCTTTTTGCATAGAATAGAAATATTTTTAGATAAAATACAACACTGTTTATAACTTAATGATTTCAGAGCAGAGGCCAAGGGACCTTCTTCAGAGCCTCTTTGCTCTGCTTCTGTAGTAATATCAGTAATTGCCATTCTTTTCTGAAGAGAAGATGCATTCTTACCTTGATAAGCCTTCCATTTGTGTACAAGACAATGACAGACTTGGATAAGTACGAAGTTTATTTGAATGGAAGGTCATTTGGGGTACTGGGTGCCTCCCCATCCTTTTTCCCCCTGTGAAGGGATGATATGCTCAATTTCTAGAACAGTTGAAATTTTTCTTTACCAGTCTTTGCTCCATAAATCATCAGTACCTTGGAAATTGAAATCTTGTATTGAAACGGTCATCCCCGAAGAGAACGTCACGCCTGGTCTCTTTTTCCCCCCAGTTTGTCGTTGGGAAAGGGGATCTAGTCAGCTTGCTGCAAAGCTCTGGGCTGCCTACAAAGCTGTTTTTGCACATCAAGACACAGATAATGGCCTTCTGGGGACTGTCATTTGCCCAGTCATTGTACTTGCAGAAGTGGCATCTACTTCCTAAATAACATGACTCCAGAAACTCTGTGAACTTGGATAAATGTTGATAGTTGTAAAGGGGCTTCAGGCCTTTTGTTCATAGGGTCGCTATAAGTCGTGCTTGTCTCGAAGGCAATCGACAACAGCAGCAGCAAAACCTTATGGGACAGAGCAAACCTGCCCGACATCTTTACAGAAGCACACTGCCACCTTTCTTCTCGCCTCTGGTGGATTTGAACCACTGACCCTTTAGTTAGCAACCAAGCCCTTAATATATACTTGTTACTGTTAATTAACAACAATAATCACAAAATAATGATGTGTATTTCTTGCCACAGAAAAGGAAGGCACTGAAGGAGCTTCTGTTGGTTAACAGCCTGTTAGGGGACTACCCTGTGCCCGGCTTACAGAAGAGCCAAGTTCACGGTCTCCTTCTGCACCTGGAGGGGCAGGAAATGAATCTGCTATTAGATATAACCCCTGGGAAGGGATGGGACTCCTCTCTACACAACAAGTTTCCTTCCCTCACTGACTCTTTTGCATTTGGTACAAGCCCGACAGGAATATCTTCTTCAGCAAAACAGCCGAGCAAGCTTGTTAAACCCCAGAGTCCAGCAGCCAGCTGCTCTGCTCCTCCCCACGGGCTCCCCAGAATCATCCACGTATTGAAATGCTCTCTAGTGTAGTCAGGCCTGTCTTCTGGGTAATCTTAAAAAAAAAAAAAGCTCTGCTGGCCTAGTGGTAAGAATCTGCACTACAGTCCCACAGGCATGTGATTTGAATCCACCAGCTGCCCCGCTGGAGGAGAATGGACAGTCTCCTCCCATGTGATTGACTGCTTCTGAAAACCCGCTGGGGGGTCAGCCAAGGTTCTGACTTGATAGCAAACAACACCTTAGAAAGTTAGATGTAGTCTTCACTAATGGTCATACTGTCAGAGGACAAGCTCTGAAAACCAGGGGTACGAACGTGCCCTGATGATCTGTGTTACGGAACCACAGCAAGGAAAACAGACCCCCCTTTTTGTGGTTGTACTGGTGTAGCCATTCCCCCCAGGGGCCCAGCGCTTCTGGTTCTAACCTGCCTTTCAGCGACTCCTCGTTGCCCTAACTCGACTCAACACATCTTGGCTGGTGATGTTTCCTTTCACATTCTCACTTCCACCTGTTGACGTTCTTTGACCCCCTTATATCTCCTCTCCTAGAAGACATACCCGTATGTTAGCAGTCTTCAGACTTGAGATGGTCACGTTTTTGCCATTGGCAAGTCCTGCTTTCTCTAAAGCTTTTTTTTTAAATCCACCACTAAAAGATATTTTCAATTCATTTTAGACTCTAACTGGCTTACCATATAATAGGAAAACCCAGTATTGTTGTGCTACCCATCAATGATGGTGGTGGGAATAAATGCAATTTTTTTATTATTTTTGTGTGTGTGTGTACCATCAAATCAGATCTGACTGGTACAGGAGGAGATTGTTCCTCCTTCTACAGCAGAACATCTGGTGGATTTGAACCGTGCACCTCTGGGATTGCAGTGCAGCTTCTTACCACTAGTCCACCAGAGCTCGTGGAATAAATACAATTTTTTAAAAAGGCAAAAATCTGTATGGCATTTCTAGAGAAGGACGACTGTGGCCCAGAAAACTCTAGCCGTGGGACTGTGCTTTTAGTGGGAACAAGTGTTAGTGTGTGAGGCCACTTGAGCACCACCCTGAGCTGATGTCCCCAAAATGGTCAGGAGGTAGATGAGAGATGCTGTACTTTCTGGATGGTGCTGTCCTTTGGCCACTTTCTCTGGGCACTGTCTTGTCAGCCTTCCTGTCTCTGGGTTACACAGTGGTTGGGATTCATAGCCAGGTAAGTTTCTTTTAATCTCCAGGTGACATTCCTGGGCTTTTCCCAAGATGTGGACAGATTCTGAGTTGTGAAAGCAAGGCATCTGGAGCGGTGATGCTCACCGGCCTTGTCCACCAGTTGGTGGACTTCTTGAGGATGAAGACTAGGTCTTGTTGAGCTCATTCCCCCAGAGGTTTTGGCCTGAGTCCCAAAGATGAGCGCATCTCTGAGAAGGGAGGGAGAAGGTGCTCTCCTTTCAGGAACACTTGAACTTGTTCGGTTTGCCCAGCCTTGCTTAGCTTCCCGCAGAATGTAATGTGGTTGATCCTTCAGTTGATCCGAGTCAAATGTAATTTTTGTTTGTCTCTCTTACGCACTGGTGTTAGTTGTAGGTAAAGCGCCACCGTCCACCACAGCGGCGGGCAGCCAGTCTCCCCCCGACACGCCGGTCCTCACCCGCTCATCCTCCCAAACCCCCACGGCTGGCGTCACGGCCACCACCAGCACGACATCCACGGTCACAGCCCCAGCCGCCGCCGCCACGGGAAGCCCGGTGAAAAAGCAGAGGCCGCTCTTACCGAAGGAGACTGCCCCAGCCGTGCAGCGGGTCGTGTGGAACTCCTCAAGTAAGTTTCAAACGTCCTCTCAAAAGTGGCACATGCAGAAGATGCAGCGCCAGCAGCAGCAGCAGCAGCAGCAAAGCCAGCAGCAGCAGCCTCAGTCTTCCCAGGGGACGAGATATCAGACCAGACAGGCTGTGAAAGGTACCGAGCCTCCCTTCTGTTCTCCGTGGCGCCTGCTCCCGTTTTGCCACATCCACAGGAGAAAAATCACTACTGGTGTTTTTTTGGTTATGTTTTGTTTTTTATTTATTTTTTAGTTCCCATTTAGTTTCTGGCAGTCATATCCTGAAAGCCTTAACTATTATTCCATGTGGCATGGCTTTTAAGAATTGTTTTGCAACTTGCTATTTTGCCTTTTTTCATTTTCTAAGTGAAGACATGCATATATTCATCTTCAGATGGGACAGGCGCATTAACCTAAAAGTGTGCTGTCCCTGTTGAACATCCATTTCATTCATCGTCTTTCTTCAGAGGCTCCTATTATCAGTTTGTTGTGTACTTTAAAAAACTGATAATAAAAATCTGCAAAACTCTACTATGCATGTATGCATATATACTTGTATATATGCGATCCCATAAAATAATCTTTTTCTTTTTTTTAAACTGTAAAAATGGTACCATACTTTTTTTTTTCCCCTCCCCTCTACTTATCAGCATGTGTTGGACACTCGTCCATTCCAGAACATTACAGCTCTACCTTATTCTTTTGAACTGCTGCACAGGATTTCAGAATTACTAAAAGCATTCCCCTATTGATGGGCATTGAATTTTCTTCCAGATTTTTCCTGTTAACAAACAGCCGCAGTGAACACCTTTGTGTAAGCTTCCTTCTGGACATGAGTGAACCTCTTGGTATTCTTTTAGAATGAGTACAGAGTATAAAGATGGCGGCATGGTCACCTGACTAACCGGGAATTAGTCACATGCAAAGATAAGCTGGTATCAAGAACCAGTTGCTGAAGCTGTAGAATTACACTTTCCCCCAGCTGTGCTGGAGGCTCCGTTTAGAGTTGAGCCAAGGCCAAACAAAGTTCTGATCCGGACCAGCTTGTCCAGCTTTGCCATCTTGATCATTCCATGAGGGAATCGTTGTCCAGGTCTTTAGAAGTTGGGCTCCTTGATTGCAACTCTTGTGTAACCAGTATACCATAATAGGGCTCTTTAAGGGTAGAAACAGAGTAAGCTTACAAAATGGAAAGGTAACAAGATCTTGGATTAACCTCCATTAAGACTCTTCAGAGACTCGAGGGAGGGAGGAAAGACTCTATGAAAGACTATGGAGTCATAATTAGATTACAGTTGACTTGACCTCATCAATGGGGGGGCAGAGCTAAAATCATGGGTATTTGAGATTGGGATGCTCACTTTCAGTCTTGAGTCTCCTGGCCTCATAAACTTGATAAAGTTTCTCTGGTATAATTTAGGTATTGGTGAGAAAGGTATAATGGTACGATGCTCAATTTCCAGGTTGTTACTTGACAATAGAGAAGTTCATAGACTATAGTAGAGGCATCATGTCCTCACCGCAGCTCTGTACCTGGACAGGCGTGTCCCACAGTCGTGCGGTAACCACAGTCCTTTGCTTTTCAGCTGTCCAGCAGAAGGAGATCACACAAAGTCCATCCACCTCCACCATCACCCTGGTGACCAGCACCCAGTCGTCGCCCCTGGTCACCAGCTCAGGGTCCACGAGCACGCTTGCATCGTCGGTCAGTGCTGACCTGCCCATCGCCACTGCTTCCGCCGATGTTGCTGCAGATATCGCCAAGTACACTAGCAAAGTGAGTGGGTGGGAGCCGGGAGGCTGCCTGGTGGGAACCGAGGGACTAGCTTCCTGCTGGGGACCGTCAGAGCCGTAAATGTGCAGGTTCCTCGTGTGTTCTCCATGGAGCTGAACCTATACTTACAGAGAATCCTCAAGACAGGGTTCTATCACTTGGGTCTGAATTGGAGAAGTGGAGGATGTGCTGACTTTTGGTCCGAGAGGGCTTCTTAGATGCTAAAGCCACCAACACGAGCCCATAGTTGGCCTGTCAGGTCCCACTTGGGGCATGACCCTGCATGGTGATCTCATGGCCATAAACAGCGGGAGCAGACTGGCTCAGTTTTTTTCTCTTGTGAGCTGCTGGGAGATTCTAAAGTGAATATGTAAACAGAAATGATGTGTGATCAAAAGTATCCATCAGAACAGAACTCGTTGACAGGTTTTCCTAAAGCTTTGGAACACATTGCTAATTTCTTCAGTTAACAGCAAACCAAGGGGTTGGTTTAAAGACGATGTGGAACAGAAGCGACAGCTCTTTGTGCATTCAGTTTGCTGACTAAGATGCTTCCATTGATCGTCCTTGGAACCATTGTCGTTAGGGTTTGGACATATTCCCACACCCAGCTTCTTCACCCTCTGTGCCTGCTCTTCACAGACTCTCTGAACTTGCCTTGACTTCATAAATAGAGTCAGGTGACAAACTTAGATAACTTTAAACTTCACTTTGCCAGGTGCTGTGTGAGGGTGGTGATCGAAGCTCAGTTTCTTTTTGTTAAAAGGATGTTTGGATGAAGGCATTAAAGACAGTAGCCCCACACTGAGAGGTTCTTCGTAGCATGACCTGCAGGTCTAAGAAGGAATTGAAGAGGGTAATTGTTTCATGACTGGTTTAAGGAGGTGTGCCCAGTTTCGCCTTAAAACACCTCTTTTTCTACTTGGAATCATCTCTTGTACCACTGTTCAGCGGCATGGCCCTCACTCTTTCTTAGAGATGGGGAACCTGAGGGCTGTTGATTGGTCCTGATGGTACTTTGCTCTGAGCTCCTAATCTGTGCTTATTCAGAGGTTTTTCGTTCCCTTCTCTTTACTCTTCTAGTGAAAGACCCTTTGGATGAGACTTTTTTCTGCAGCTAAGAAAATATATGTAGGGACCTTGGGAGAGTGGGCGTGTTGATGAGCCTTCCTGTCTCCAAGGTGACCTGGAATTGAGGACCCAGCTTTGTATATTTTTGCAGAAGGCAGCTCCATATTAATATTGAATTCTTTTTTGTATTTGGATGTAAAAGTTTGTCTACAAATCCATGATTTCTTTAAAATGAAATGTAACTGGTACATTAGTGGTATATGAAATTCAACTACTTTCCAAAGTTTTCTTGTAAAGCACTTTCGTTTTTAATTTTTTTAAAATTAATTTTAATGTTTACAGAGACTTTAGATTTTCATTCATTGTTGCATTTTTCTCCCTGCCCACCTCTCCCCCCCCAGATCACTCTTCTCTTTGAAAAGTAAAAGAAAAATTCTTTCATCGTTATACAATCCCCCTGCTGCTCCCCAGCCCCTACCCCCAGTATACTCCACTATGCAGCCTTCATTCTGGACTCGTAATACCAATCATAGATCGCTTTTAAACAGTTCTCTCCCTCTTGTTTTTAATATTTAATTTTTTTAAAATGACATGGTACAGTCAGGTAGGGGGACTCCCAAAGAAGGAACCGGCTATGAAGCTTTCTAACATGCATTATACTTCTTTAAATGTGCCCTGTGTTGCCTGTCCAGCCATCTGGGAGTAGAAACCTCGACAAATCTTTTATTCACTTCACTTCCATTTGAGGTTAAATTTGAGATGTGGTTATTTTTCAAAATACACTTGGTGTCAGTTAGGCAACTACATGCTCATGGGGATTTTCGTATTTATGAACATCCACTACTTTCTGGCTGATATCGGTCTATAGTTTTCACATGATGTTTTTTCTTTTTCTAGTTAATCCTTAACCTTGAGGTTGCTTGGGCATGCAGTCATAATCTTCGTATCCTAGTTAGGGAACTAGGAGTCGTGGCAAGTTTGGCAGAGGAGAGATAAGGTTCAGGCATCAGATCAGGATGGCTTTGTTCTTTGCTTTTATTCACTTGGATCAGACTGGAAAACAAAGTAGTGAGTCCCTGCAGAGTCCTGGTTTGATCTCTTGTTGTATTTCTCCTGTGAGAGACCCAGGAGAGAGAAGACGTTTCTTCTCAACATACACGTTTAGTAAAGGAATATTTGGGGTGCCTGATGCACGGGTTCAAGTTCATTTAGAACTCGCCAATGGGGGAGAAAGATGGGCAGTCTCCCCTTGTGCGATGAACTGCCTCTGAAAACCCTCCAGAGGGTCAGCTGTGGGTCGGTTCAAGCCTACCGCACACAGCAACAAACAACAGCAAAGCCTCCGGGAGGAGGAAGACACGGAATGAACTAGGAAAGCCAGTGTCCTCGCTAAAAGGATTAAAATAACCAGATCTGTTCACACAAGGAAATAATAGTCAATTGTAAAAGATATGAATTACTATTGATATGTACAACATAAATGAGCCTTGAGAAGAAAGCCAGTCACAAAGAAATAAGGTATGAAATGGTTCCATTATAGAAATGTTTACAGTCTAGAGACAGAAAGATTAGTGGCTGCCTAGAAATTGAGACAATGCTGAAACTGAAGAGCAACAGGTGAGAGAGAGGGGAAATTTTAATGGATATGCTACTGACAATACATTAAAAACCACTAACTTGAGCAAATTACATTTGGATTAATTTTTATTCATTTTAATGAACACTTTCAGAGATTTTGGATTTTCATTCATTCATTGTTGCACGTTTTTCTTTACCCCTCACTCCCCCAGTTTGCTCCTCTCTTTGACAAGCAAAAGATAAATTTCTTTGTTGGTGTACAGTCGCCCCCCACCCCCACCCACTCTGCAACCTTAATTCTGGATTCCTGTGATAATCATAATATGCTATCATATATCACTTTTAAACTGTTCTCTCCCTCATCTGTTTCAATTTAGTATATATAATCTATCCAGTTTTTCTCAGTCTTACCCCAACCCTGATGTCAGTCTCATTCTACAACAGTGGCACCGTGCAGTATTTGTCCTTTTGTGACTGAGATACTTCACTCAGCATAATGTCCTCCAGGGTCACCCATTTTGAATAATATTGCATCAGTTCCTTGTTTTTCAATGCACCGTAGTATTCCATTGTGTGAATATACCACAGCTTCTCTATCCATCCGTTTGTTGATAGGCACCTTGGGTTGTTTCCACCTCCTTGCTATTGTGAACAAAGCAGCAATAAACATGGTGTGCATATATCTGCTTGGATGTCAGTTATGGTCTCTTTAGGTTATATTCCCAGTAGTGGAATTGATGGGTCAAATGATAATCTCTATTTGCAACTTTTTGAGAAGGTGCCATACCGCCTTCCACAGTGGTTGCTCCATTTTACACTCCCACCAGCAGTGAATAAGGATTCCAGTTTCTCCACAACCTCGCCAGCATTTGTTGCTTGCTGTTCTGTTAAATTTTGCAATGATGATATCTCATAGTTATTATGTGGATTGATTTTTATGGTATATCTCAAGAAAATATTTGTTCTTAAGGGAAAGAAAACCATTAAATGCAGCAAACTGAATGCTTTCACCAGAACCACCAGTGCACGGAGCCAGTTCTGACCTTCGGTTTGAGCTCATACCTGTAGAGCCAGCTTTGCATATGTAACTCGTTAGCATGCTATGAGGGTGTTTGTGGGGGATTCCTTACCCACCTTGAACCATGGGTAGGGTAGGCACTCTTGTCATCATGGACCCCATCATTCTTTGTGGGGAGGCTTTTCCTGTGTGTCAAGCTGTGTAGCAGCATCTCTAAAGCTGCTGCTGCCGAAATGTGAGCAGGACATCCTCCCGCACCCCATTTGTGACGTGCAAATGGATTTTTGCCTCTGAACACTGCCCAGTGTCCTGCGGAGAGCGTCATCTCAGCGTCTGCCCTCTAGCTCCGGGAAGCAGTCTCACCTGATTATGTCTCTTTTTTTTTTTTCCAGATGATGGATGCAATAAAAGGAACGATGACAGAAATATATAACGATCTTTCAAAAAACACTACTGGAAGCACAATAGCGGAGGTCAGAGTTTACACATTAATTCCTTATTTCCTCAAGGCGTTTTATAGGGTCCCTTTAGGTGGAGTGTCAGAGAAGACCCTCAACAAGATGGATTGATACAATCCTGACTGTGACACGAACTCAGGTGTGTAAGAGATGAGGATGGCACAGGACAGGACAGGATTCAGATCTGTTGTTCACAGAGTCTCGGAGTCACAGTGACTTGGAGGCAGCTAATAACAACAAGATAACATTTGGGCCATGCAGAAGCCGCTCTGGAAGTCCTTCCTGCAGGCTGGCTATTCATCACAGTAGACAGGGAAGGTATTTCTTGATTTATCCAGATGACTGGGGCTGTCACTGCCCACTGTATTTCATTGATAAATTCCAGGTCTTTCAGACCAGTTCATAGAGCCTTTAAAAGCAGTTAGTGCCTTACCTTTATTGTGTGGATTGGATTATAACCCCAGAAATATGCGTGGTAAATATTAAACACCGTCAGGTCTGTACTGCTCACCATCCCATTTGGAAATGGGTTTTCTTTGTTAGGCTAATGAGGCAGGATGGGGGTGAATTGTGTGTCAGTCTCTCTCAAATCTGACAAGAGCAGTAAGCCGTCAGAGTCGGGGCAGGATAGATGCCAGGCCACACAGGGACCACCAAGGAGCCGACAGTGAGAATACCTTTAGTCCCAGCTTGGACCCTCAACTTGAACTCTAGCTGTCTAAATGGAAAAAGTAGGCTTCTATTTGTGCAGGCCGCCCGCATGTAGTATGTCTGTTAAAGTAGCTCTCGATAACTGGACACCCATGAGCGTGTTTGCACATGGGACCCTTTTCCTGGTGATCCTGTGGGTATCAAACAATATGTGAAAAATGTGACTTTGGAAATATCTTTACACCCTGCCCACCCCATCCAATCTCCATCATAGTTTGTTCTTTTTTTACTTATGTGTTTGAAAATACAGCCCGTTAAGGCTTTATCTGACCCTTGAGTCCAGATGTGTGCCAGAAGTTTTCTTAGAGAATATTCCAACGTTCCCCACAGAGAAAGCACGTGTCTACAGAGCAGCATGGTTGCTCATGCCAGTTCGTGCTTCATAGCTTCTTGGATCTCGACTCGATGCCAGTAGCAACCAGAAGTCTCTCTGGACACTAGCAATGTTCCTGGGGATTGGTGCAAGATCACTCCCAGATGGGAACCACTGATAAACATTGCCAGGAGCCTCACATCTGTTCATATTGAGTTTCTTTTCCTCTCCCATTCATGGGAGCTTGTTCCCACGTTTATCTTTGTGGAGCCCCCCTTCTATCCTTCAGATGGGTTGAACTCTGAATTTCAGGCAGATGATACAGGTCACAGCTACATATTGAGAGATTAAATAAGCCAGTGTTTGTTCAAATTTATTCTTTTTTTGTAAACCAAAGTTGTCAGCAAATGAACTATTTCTTACGAAAATATGATCCTTGTTTTTCACTTTGTGACTGTGTTTCGTACCATGTTTCTTGGAAAAGATGGGCATTTTTTACATGGTTTGCTGACACTGTATTTCCTGTGAATTTGGCGTAAACTATAGATGTCCCACCTCTCTCCCCTTAACTGTGGGCTGAGGAGCCCAGACCCACGGCTAGTGCTCCCGTAACTAGCAGCACGTTGTCCAGTTTGAGTCCTGTGGCCACACTGCTCCCAGACCAGCTTTGTAAGAGTCTGATGGCCTCTTGTTTCAGATCCGAAGGCTGAGGATCGAGATAGAGAAACTCCAGTGGCTGCACCAGCAAGAACTTTCCGAGATGAAACACAACCTGGGTAAGGCCCCCACCTGGGTAAGGCACCTACCTGGGTAAGGCCCCCACCTGGGTAAGGCCCCCACGTGGGTAAGGCCCCCACCTGGGTAAGGCCCCCACCTGGGCAAGGTACCCACCTGGGTAAGGCCCCCACCTGGGCAAGGCCCCCACCTGGGCAAGGCCCCCACCTGGGCAAGGCCCCCACCTGGGCAAGGCCCCCACCTGGGCAAGGCCCCCACCTGGGTAAGGCCCCCACCTGGGTAAGGCCCCCACCTGGGTAAGGCCCCCATGTGGGTAAGGCCCCCACCTGGGCAAGGCCCCCACCTGGGCAAGGCCCCCACCTGGGCAAGGCCCCCACATGGGTAAGGCCCCCACCTGGGTAAGGCCCCCACCTGGGTAAGATCCTCCCCAGGGTAAAGCCCCCTCGAGGTTAAGCTCCTTACCACCTGGTCACCAGGACTCCCCTGTGTATAGTGTTTTAAGAATTGATTGAGAGATATGACTTCTGTTATTCGATGGGGAAGGATCATAGTGAGTTTTAGTAAGATTATTTATTATTAAGAGTAACTTGTAGAATCCCCATAGTATAGTTTTTTTTTTTTTTCCCATAGTATAGTTTTGAGCTCAGAATCGCCAGTTCAGTTCAGTACCTTGTGTATTATCACAGTAGCTCAGGCAGGTGAGCATAAATGCCCGTTTTATGGATGAGGAGTTTGCGCCACAGATGAGGCATTTCCAAGCCAGGATCCACAACCTGGCTGTCCGAAACCCTGTCCTGTGCTTTCTGTCCAACCTGATGTCACAGGACCTAGATTCTTTGGGGGAGCTGATGCGTAAATGGGCTGGGGGCTGAATGAAAAAGGAAAAAAAACCCCAAACAAACAAAAGAGTGTCCTACCCTTCGGGCAGAGCTGACCATGGCGGAGATGCGGCAGAGCCTGGAGCAGGAGCGGGACAGGCTCATCGCTGAGGTGAAGAAGCAGCTGGAGCTGGAGAAGCAGCAGGCCGTGGACGAGACCAAGAAGAAGCAGTGGTGCGCCAACTGCAAGAAGGAAGCCATCTTCTACTGCTGCTGGAACACCAGCTACTGCGACTACCCCTGCCAGCAGGCGCACTGGCCCGAGCACATGAAGTCCTGCACGCAGTCAGGTGAGCGAGCCCGGGGTGGCGGGCCCAGTCCTCATCCACCCGTCCTGCTCAGTCTCCGTCTCCCGTTCAGTGAGCAGCTTGCAGACACGCCTCACAGGCCGGAGACTTTGACCCTGTCAGCTTCGTAGTGTTGACCGTCAGTCTGTGGGGCATCTGACGGCAGCTCGGTGATCATTGGAGGGTTCGTGCCCTTTGCTGCCCCAGTCAGGACGGCAGTAGCGGCAGTAGCTTTAGACGTTTGGCTGTGGTTGACAGTGTGTGGGTGGTTGTCACACCTAGCAGGGGTGAAGGGGCGGTGTTTGTTACGTGTGCACAGCCCCCTCTACCAAGAAGCATTTTGTCATAATCAGTAGAACCTGGTGTTTTGGTGATGGACAGTGGACACGTGGCTTTAAATAGCAAAGATTTCCAATTTTTGTGTTCGGGGGAGGTCTTGTTTAGAGCCCATGTACCTGGAAGATTGATTTGTAATTGTCTTTCCCAGCAGAGAACAAGTACGCCTTAGGCCTGGCGCCTCCAGCAGAAAGCACCCTCTAGTTAGAATTTATTAATAATAATCTACCTTTTGATTCTATTCCGCAGTGAGCTTGTGTTTGCAGCAGACAATGTTAGTTGCTGTGGAGCACATTTCAACTCATAGAGGTCCTGTTACACTCTTCCCACTATGAGCTGCTGACTGGGTTTGAACTGATAGCCTTTCTGTCAACGAGCACCTGTCCTTGCACCACCCGGCCGCCTTCGGCAAGCAGTAACTAGCTTCATATGGTTAGAATTAGAAGTTCCACTGCAATAACTGACTTACACAAAAACATGACACAGAGGATGCATGTGTGAAATTAGCAAAACTTGGAGAGGAAGACGGCAGCAGCTTTGCGAGCCGTTGGTGCAGTCCAGGACAGGCAGGTTTTTCTGGAAGAACCGAAGAGGAGATGCTTTGTGAATCTGTGGTGTCTGTTTTGATTGCTCATCTCTGCCGTTGTAATATGTAAATATGTTCCGATGAAACTTTATTTCCTATCCAGATTGCAGGTGGTTTTGTAGCCTCCGCTCTGGACAGACCTGTTGTGTTTTTAAGGCTGTGTTGGACCAAAAGCTTTGTTCTTAAACCTCTTGGGGTAGCTTTTTTTTTTTTTTTCCTTGGAGGTGCCAGCGAGATTTGAAGACTTTTTCTTTTTTTTTTTTAAATACTGGTTGTGTACTTCCTCTTTAAGTGTGCTTCCATTCCTGTCACCTTGGGTTCCAGAATGATTCTGAGGACCCTTTGCTGACATTCCAGGGTGGCTGACGTGTCTCTCAGCATTCCTTCCTTTGAAGCACAATTACGTCTGGTCCTCCATTCCTCTCCCATGCCCCGCTTTCCAGTCTGTTAAGTGTCCACTGTGTCCAGGCACTCGTGCCTCTGACATCATGTGGCTGTGCATTTTGGGGCTGGCCAAGCTTCAGGGGAAGCAAGTCCACGGGGTGTTCGCTTAGGTGTAAAATTAGAAACCAGGACATGTCATCATTCTCTTTGTGCTGCGCCAGGCTGGACTGGCTTTTGCTGATGGGATCCTTTTGTTCTGCAAACGTGTTCGAGTCTCCAGAGGGATCTACTGGAACTAGAATTGCTATCTTGTAAAAACGAGCATATGCCTGGGATTCTAGCTTCTGGAAGACCCTTGAGATCTAGTCCAAGTGGGAACTGCATGTGCCCGGGGTGGGACGGGCAGCAGCTGTCCCATTGCAGCTCATGGTTGGGTCAGAGTTGGACTAGAATGCGGGGGAGGGGTTCACACAGAACCAGAGAGCCTTGGGCCCCACTTACCTGCGGTTTCTCTTCCTGCTTGGTCCCCAGCAACGGCCCCTCAGCAGGAAGCAGATGCGGAGGTGAACTCGGAAACACTAAACAAGTCTTCCCAGGGCAGCTCTTCCAGCACGCAGTCAGCCCCCACGGAGACGGCCGGCGCCTCGAAAGAGAAGGAGCCCCCAGCAGAGAAGAGCAAGGATGCTGGCTCCGTGAGTGTCCTGCACCTTTGGCCAATGTCATTGTCCCGTGTCCAGCAGAGTCACAGACCTTCTCCTGTCCCTGCCACCCTAAAATCCCCTGGGTCAGCCAGACCACACCATGGCACCCCGGAGCCTCCCTCTCCTCACCAGTGTGCTGGGCCCAGTGGTCATGTAGGTGGGATCAGGACCACTTTATAAAGCCCGAGATTGCAGCTGTCAACTTGCTAACTTATCCCCTGTATATTCTCTGGGATGATGCTCAAAGAGTACGACACTGTTATCCCCTAGAACTTTGCTGTGATGCTAGAAATACTCTGTATCTGCTCTGCTCTTTCCAGTTCGGTAGCCACTGGCCACATGTTTTGACAAGTGTGGCTGAGGAACTGAATTTCTAAAGTTTTAAATGTGAGTTGGAATTATAACAGATTTAGTTAACTTCATCTGTGGGAAAATCTGGAGCAGGGAGTGAGCATGTGGAAACAGGGAATGTTCCAGATGCTGGGATGTAGTGTTGGCCATGGTCCTGTGTCTTGGCTGTTTGGCCTGGGAGACTGAGTACAGCTGTAGGACCACTCCACCTGACTGGCCCACCCCACCTGACATGCCCCCC